ACGCGGGCAAGATTCGCCCGCTGTCGCAGCTTCTTAAGAAGGAAGCTGAGTGGAACTGGACTGCTGAGTGTCAGCAGGCCTTCGATGTAGTCAAGCAGGGCTTGACTAAGGCGCCGGTCTTGGCACTGGCTGACCAAGATCGCCCGTTCCACGTCGTGTATGACGCATCCGACTTTGTTATCGGATGCGCGTGGATGCAGCACGATCATGAGGGGCGTGATCGTGTGGTCTACTACCAGTCGTGTCAGCTGAAGCCAGCTGAGTGCAACTATCCTGTGCATGACAAGGAGCTAAAATATTTGTGTTAACAGTACAAACAAAGACCAAATGCCGAACGAATTCGAGTGGACGCAGAGAATTTTTTGCTGCACCCATGGTGTTTCACAAAAGTCGCGATCAAAAGGTCATCGCAATCGCCGAACACGGTACAAGAAGTGCATGGCGCGGTTGACTGCAGTTGTTAAGCGGATTGCTATGAACGAGTATGAAATTAAAATACAGAACCAGGTAAACGCCAGCAAATGGTTGATAATACCTGTTTCAGAGATTAACTTTATTTTCATCCATAGCACCACACACATTCGCATCCTACAAGTAGTATTCAAGCTGCATCTTACCTTACGACGACGACACTCCCGCTTGACGATCAGGATCGGGAAGACGTTAAGACGTTGGCAGACGCGTGTGTGTCGTCAACGCATATCGCCAATTTTCTGAATGATCGCATCAGTGAGTGAGCGATGGGGATCTTTGTGCTTTTTATTTTGACGATAATGTTTGGCATTTGAGTAGAATGCAACACAACAAACTGGCAATCTGCTTCGTAGTATCATGGGGGTCGATGCAGGGGAGGATAGACTGAAAGACATGTTGCAGCTTGATGGTAGTGACGTACAAGTAATTCAAGACCACACCGCGCGCGGTATCATCATCAAAACAAAGATCCAAAAGATGATGTTTGAGCGGTGGGGCGAGACGTTAGCTATGGACCTCACGCACAACAGAAACAACCTTGGGTATCATTTGGGCGAGTTTGTAGTGCAAATTTGTTTATTGCAACCTTGGCCTGTTATATCAACCTTAATATCTGTAGAGCAACCTTATTAATATTTTAGATTTGTATTCTAATGTCCTGCAGGGAGTTTGGTCGCCACAACAGCTTCAGACCAAGCGTTTCCGGTTGTGATTCTGTTTGTCTGGATGAGTAGGCCACCACAATATCCACAGTTCTCACATTTTTCCAGGAGAAAAATTCAAGATGGGAAGATGTCGAGACTGTGATCATCGATAAGGACTTCACAGAGTGGAGGGTCCTCGAGCAATTGTTTCCCAAGACTACAGTTTTACTGTGTCAATTTCACGCCATTACGTACAGGAAAAAAGGTGATGAAACGGCCGGTGAATCGACTAAAGGTGTCCCAAGAAGAAGAACTTCTCAAGTTGATGGCAAAGTTGCTGTACAGGTACGACACTTTTTCAACCGGAAGATTCACGAGTACTAATTTAATGTTATGTCGATTAGCTCTTCCAAAACAGCGTATGAAGTCAAATACCATATTCTCAATCAATACTGCCAGGACAATAATCGTCAAGCATTTTTTTGCGTACTTTGAGAAGAACTGGAATTCGCGCCGTGGTATGTGGTCTAATTTTGCACGTGGAAAGAGATTCACCGCAGTAAAAACGACCACGAATCGTATCGAGTCCAACTGGAACCAATTAAAGATGCTCCTAGGACTGAATACAAGAATCGATAAGACCATAGCCGGTCTGCTCCATCATCAAATTATGATTAGGCGCCAGATTGTTTCAGAGATTGGAAAACAGCATCGTCTCGACTGCCCCGTCCCTCGGTTTTTAAGGGCAATGACAGGCATGCTGGCGACCAAGTTTTTGGGGACGGTGAAAAAAAGAGTGGGAATGTTTTGTGAATTTGATGGAATCGGCAGTTTCAGAACAAAGCAGTGGTACTTCGTCTCTTTGGAAAAATTACAGCACCAATCAAAAATTCTCATGTGTCGCGATTCGGACTGGACATGTAGCTGTTTGTTCTACAAAAGCAACCGCTTACCGTGCCGTCATCTAGTGCACGTTACACGCAGAGAGCACGGATCTGATGTGCTTCCTGCTAGTTCAATTCATAACCGATGGAATATGTTGCGGCGCTGGATATTAAAGAAAATCTCAGATCAGAAGCCGACGCGTTGCAGTCCATTGCAAGAATGGTCAAGTTAAGGTCGCCGAAATTAAAGTTACCGAATGGAAACGAAGAAGGGATTCGTGAGCCAGACTTTAAGAGCCCCAAGCAGATAGAATATTACGCTTGCCCCGAAACGAGCGTGCTGACCATGTTGTTCTTTCTTCTGGAGATAAGTACTCATACGCAAAAGCAATGTTGGAGCCGCTGCTACAACACCTGTCGGATTTGTCGAGTTCGGAGTTCTATACAGAATTAAACGCTTGGAAAGAGACAGTCGACGATGGGCTGTGTCGGGCTGGATCCAAGGCAAGAGCACCTGCAACAAACGATGATAAAGACGAGATCGACGAAGTGAATGCTGAAGCGATAGGAGAAGTCGATTTTTTTTTTAGTGTTTTTGATCCTACAGATGCAATGGAAACTGCAGACCTAATGAATGCTATGGACCAAGAAAGTCCAGGAGACTTAACCTACGGTGATAGTGACAATGAGAGTGTTGCACCGACACAGCCAGCAACGGAAGAACACCAGCAGCCTCTACCTCTGCATCAGGGGGTTTCAATTGCCCGCGATGATATCAACCACGACGTATCTGCATCTTCAGCGCCAACAGGACCGATTCCCGCCACATCGGGGTCTGTGCGTCAGGTTGATGTCATCAATGTTCCAATGGCCGAGGTAGACCGCGTCCCTCTACAGTCGTGCACCTCCAATTCGGCAGGGCGGACCATATCAACAGTGCCAGGGCATACGTATACAACTTAAAGCATAAAACAAACGCAAATCCAGTGCACTGATATTTATTCTGTTAATTCAGTAGAAAATTTACGTTTAGTTTTGAGACGATGCCTGTGTGGCACCAACAATTTCTAATAGTCTTTGCAGATATGTTGTTCCAGCCTTCAGACAACCACTTCATGGCGGAGTAAACGTCGACCGGTGTGTAAGGAACACCCTTATAGAACAGGTCCAGCAAAGCAGCTTGCTTCTTGTTCTGGTACTCTTTCTTCAGGCACTTAATGATGCCCTGGTCCATGGGCTGCAGTACGGCAGTTGTATTGGGCGGGAGCTTGCGAATAGCAACATTGGATAGTTCAATAGGAGCGTCGTTGTGCGACGAAGCATTGTCAACAAGTAGTAGTACTTGTCGTTCTTCCAGCTGCATACGTTCATTTAGCGACAAGAGCCAATCACAGTACTTTACCGTATTCATCCACGCCTTCGCCGTATTAGTGTAGGTCTCTCCAATTTCGGCTAGAAGGTTGCGATTTTTTTAGGGGTCGCGGCACTTTAGACCGCCCAATGAAGTGCAGCGGAAGCTGCTCCGTGCCATCGGCGTTGGTGGCAACGCACACGGTGATCCGGTGCTTGCTCTGCTTCCTCCCCTTCTCTTTCTTGTTCACCGTTAGTGATCCTCGCGGTTCCCGGCGGTAGAAGAATGCGGTCTCGTCCATATTGAAGACGTCCCGGGGGTGGTATTCTGAAACGAGGGCTCGAAGTTCTTTAAGCCCCTCTTCTACTGCTGCGTCGTCCACCGAGGCCCCCTCCCCATGTCGTTGCGAAAACCACAGCCCTGTGCGCTGCTGGAAGCGGTACAGCCGCCCTCGACTAGGTACATTGCCTCCGGGTAGCTGTACCCCTTCACGCCGTGCAATCATTAGTACCGTAGAGCCCTGAATAGTTGCGTTTCCGTGCCAAGACATGGATTCGTCGATCTTCTGCATAATCTTGGCGTCAGACGCGCGAATCGCTGGCGCGCAACAGCGCTTCCGGTCGCGATGGGCGTCCGACAAGGCGGCAACGTCCGCCGACCGCTTGAGAATACTCTGGGCGGTAGTGCGCTTTACTGCTTGGGGGGGTCTTAAAACGCTCCGTTGCCCAACGAGCAAGTTCTGAGTGAGAGAGCGCAGGATCTGACTTGTACTTCTCGCTCAAAGACTGCTTTTGTGCTAGAGTTAGCGACATGTAGGAGGAGGGGCGATGTCCCATTGTCTTTGGCGGTAAAAAATAAAGTGTTTATTTGTATGAAGACGTCCCCTCCAAAACTTTTTAAATCAGATCGATGCGGCGTGTCATCCCTCCCCCAGGAGGGGAGAACCATTGAGGTTAATTGCTAGTGTGGTGATGGGCATAGGTAATTGCGCATCCGATTCGCGTAATCATCAAATCTGGCAGGGTATCGACTGATACCGGTGTCGAATTGGAGGTGCACGACTGTACTAAGCGTTTCTAGCAATCTATAATTACTTCGAGTGTTCAGCGTCTAGCTGTACACAAATATCCAAGCAACCTAACGGTAGGGCTTAACGAGTTAGTCGTATAGGCTCGTAACACCGCCAACATGAAGACTGTCGTTGAAATGATGGATAAGTATCCCGTCCAGTTGGAGGACGCGTACCTGCGCTCAAAAGCTATCGAATGCCGATGGGAAGCTATAAGGCCGGTGACATACATGCATCCTTTCATGATCCCAGTAGGTCTTACACGATCAATGGAGGCAGCTATCGAAACTGCCAGGGCGGAGCAAAAAGAACCCGATGCACTGGATGAAGGATTAAGCAGCAAGGCATCACACTAGATCTCGTGGTATCCATTGATCCCAAGCTCTGGAAGTTTAGCGGATAAGGTTGACTTTGCGGTCATGGTTGCTGTATGATGTATGGTTACGTTGTCCGGAAAGGGTCTCATCAGCTTCTCCAACATCGTGGGTGGTCTATGCAGAGGGTGGCTGAATGACAGCCCTGTGGATTTCTGTTTGAAAAGAATTGCTGATGATGTGGGGAATTGCTTGGTGCTATCAATATTAACATGGAGTGTCGGATGGCTGGCGGCACCTAAAGATTATATTACCGAAAAACAGTTCATTATTCACCGATGAATTTGAATGGAAACCACTGGGTGGCACAAAGCGTCAGACCAAAGAGCACACTAGTTGTCACTTCAATTGAGTGCGTGGGAAAACCGCAGCAGCCAGATTTCTCAAGTTGTGGGGTAATAGTGGTTGCTCAAGTCTACAGTTATCTGACTGACAGTCTACAATGGTAACTTTGCAATGTATTCGAGGACAGCATCAAGGTGATGAGGCTGAGAATGTTAAGGGTTATCATGTGAAACTCAAAAAGAGCAACGCGCTTCGCGCTCCACTACCGACAAGGTGAGACATATAGAGCAACAATTTGTCGACCAGCTCAAATACTAGCCTTTTAAAGCTGCATTAACAATTAATACAGATTTACGTACCCGTTAGCCTTTCAATCTGCTAATTGCCATTTCAAATAGCACCCGAAACGATAGTCGGCCATTTTGCGCAATGCCTCCGTCCCCAAGTTCTGCTGCCAACGCGTAGTTACGTTCTTCATGCTCTTCAACAATAGATAGTAGCTCCAGCTGAACTCTCAACAACTTGTCCAGAGTCGCATTCATCTTCTCTATCTTGTCCCGCATGACCTCCAGTTCATCAGCTCTTGCTCGTACCAATTCGCAAGCCAGCGACCTCCCGTCCATTGTGGCGGCGCTTCAGCTGTCCGCGAAAAATCGCTAAGTGTGAAATCCAGTGCGACACACATGAAGGATACGTGGTGCACACATCTCATACACGTATATATGTACATGATCTCTAAATTTAGACACCCTCTAACTGAATTCGTGACGAGTGCCACGTGGCCTGGTAATTTATTATATTTTACGCGGTGATATGGTTGCGCTTAGATCGAAAGGTTGCACTAAGACCTGTCGTATTGTCGTACTACGATTGCAGTAACGCCGTCCGCGTTGTCAATGCTGAAAGGTGCATTGAACGGGCGCGTTTAGGCTGCGTAAGTGCTGAAAGGTCGGATGCAGTGCAGCCCTACGTGAAAGACGAAAACGGAGGCGGCCTTTTAAATTTTGCCCAATTCTATAGCCAGGAAACGAGCCACAAACGAAACGCTTCAGCGATAGTTTAGTATTAATTACAAATATGTTCTGAGCCCTGTTAATCGGCATACTGGATTCATTAACCGTTTTTACTGAGCCGATAAAACCTGTTAACTGGGTTTGCATGTATCAGGCTCGTTCAAGCAAAAACTCTATTACCAGCGCAAATATTTCGTTTTTTTTTTGTAGTCAACACTAGTGTCATTTTGGATTATTTAGGAACGGGTACGTAACATTGTCAAGTACATTTAGCATTAATGATACCGCCTCTTGGGCGTCATACTTTCGGTGATAGGTCTTCTGTCAACGATCAAACGTTAACGCTTCACAAATACAAGTCCGCTTGACTTCCACTTTCAGCACCAATTGGCAGATATATCACGCCAGCTTCCAATGTTCTACAGTTGAATAAGAGACGATGTGCTACGCAACCGAGGTCGAAAAAAAAAAGAGCGATTCAAATACATAATCGAGTTTGCAGTAACTATTGGAGCTGTCAATGGCAGTACAATATGAATTGAGTCCATTATTGACATAAAAGTGGCAAAAGTTCCTCCGCCATAACCGTCTTGGGAATGATCATCGAATCCATTGCCCATGTCGTCATGAAATCGATAGCTACGAGTGCTCACCCAGGCTGCACTGCATGCCCCGCTTTCAGCAGATATGACTTAGTTTCACTGAGCTTCGAACTACGTATAAAAGTACGGAATAACTGGGATAAAACTCGTTGCGATTGTTGTAATCCCTCCCAAACACATTGCTGCAGTTAAGAGCGCCGGCGCTAGTGCGAATCGTGGATCGTGGGCTGAAAATGGTGCTAAACGATGCAAAAGTTGTACGCCACCACATCGAAACGTCCGAAAAATCAAACTGCTTGGTTTCCATCTGAGAATTGCTTGATAAAAATCCGCACCCATCACGGTTTGGAGAGGAAATCTAATAAAATATTAAGTGGTTGGGTTGGTTTGTTAAAATGGGTCGCCGAGGTGTGGAAACTAGACAAATACTGGTGAGTTGGCAGGCGTAAAGTGAATCGTCAAAGTCTAGAGCATAGCTACCACAGAGCAGTCTTTATTTTATTCGCTGAACTAGTAGTCTTTTACTAGGCAATGCTTCAATGATCCCGGTCCATGACCCTACCTTCGCATCGTAAAAAGCGAGTGTATTTCAATCAAAACCTCACGGTTTTTATTGTCGAAGCTATCTCTGCCGTCTGGCATGGGTTCGATGTCCTCATAACACTTCCCAGTGTTTTTTTTACCACGAGTATCGAACTCACAAGGCGCTAACCGCGTGACGGGCAACACGAAGTTGATTCTCTGTCAGTCCGAGGTCGCGCCAAATCGGTCTGATTGTTTCCAGGTTCATGTTACGCTTTCTCAAGACCTTGTAGAGATCGTTCGTTGTTGTACCATGGTTCAGCAAGTTTTGGGCTGCTTGCTTCGGTGACTTGCTGAGTCGAATCCAGCGGTCGAAAATCTTATCCGGACCTTTCCCACTTTTTAGCCACATTCCGGTGATGTCTAAGTCCGAAAGCTTTTGTTTACCCAGCTTCTGGTACTTGAGCCACAACATCTTGTCACTTAGTTTGGTGCTCACAGCGGATTTCCCTTTCTTCGCCAACTCGCTTAACTTCGTAATACCTGGGAGGGCTCTCTCTTCAGCATCCACATCGTTGGTAACAGTCGGGAGGTTGTCAGACCGTAAGAGTCGCTTACCAGACGCGCCACGATCTCTAGCAGCAACGACGGAGTGAGATAAGCCCAGACGTTGAGCGTTTTGCACGACAGCAGCTTCTTGTTCAGTGACAAAAGCGGATATGGCATCACACGACGCGATGGCAATACACAGAGCTAACAGCAGTACGTGTGGCAGATGCATTGGGTTCTTGGGTTTTGATCTTGAGGCTTGAGGAGAAATCGAAAGTGAGACGGTATTTGTTGCTTTAGAATTGATGAGCAATGAGACCTGATGGCCTTCTATTTTTTTATTAGCATTTTATATACTGCTTAACCTTTGTATGAATGTGATAATTGAATGGTGATGATGAGTACAGAATCGGGTGTGATTCGGGAAGAGATAGTGTGCAGCACAATGGATTCGCCGTTTTATGCAACTAAAGCTGGGAAGAATAATGCGGTCGTGGTGTGTAGGCATCTCGAACAGTAGAGTTTGCCGACAAGCTTATCTAATGAATGCTATTTGAAAGTGGAGATGTTCGCTTCAAAAATTAAAGATGCCGAGGTGATTCATGATGAAACCCTTCCAAATTTTACTTCACCTTGTTACACATGTACACGCATCTAATCGGGAAAGTGGGATACCCTAGCAAATGTACATCTCGTTATTAGACATATCCTTTTCCATTGGCCATCCACAGGGAGTCGGTGGAGAGGATTATGGACAGAAGCGTACCATAAACGTATGGACAGAAGCGTACCGTAAAATCAATTGAATCGACCACTTGGCCACTCTTAACCACCGAAACTAAGGCCTACCCACGCACAGGCTCGCACTAATACTGTAAAAAAATCACTAGCATTTAGCATGTAAGCAAACTCTAACAGTTTTGAGTTTCTGGTCAGACCCCGTATGGATGATGACATTTTACTGTACAGCTAGAATATAACAATAATCCTGTGGGATATACAGTTGCAATGGCTCCTGCCTGCAATTGTTTATGGTACGTATATTCTTCTTCAACTCGCGCAAGAGTGCTGGTGTCGATCGGTAACTGCGAAAATTCGTAGCACCTTTTGCAGTAAGGGGCGTTTAAATTTTGGCAATAAAAACATGTGCACACCAATAAGCATTTGCTGCGGCGCCTCTGTCGTCCAGATAGCCCTGTAGTGTCTGCAGAATGAAGACACGGATGGGGGAGCCGGCGAGGCTCCCAAAAGGTATGCCGAAGTGTATTTCTTGGCAAAAGGTAGAGTGAGTCTTTGGTACATGTACTTGCTACTCTAGTTGGCGCCGGATGCGCTTTTGGGGTGTTCAACCCGTTGGTTGGACGCTGTTCGTGTCAACATCATTGTCGTTATGAACTTAGGGTGTCATCACAGTTGTCGATATACGCCGATCCTGTAGATAGCATTGTCGTTATGCACATCCACTTGTCAACAGCATTGTCGATACGCAGGAGCAGCCGTAGACGATCCGTTTCACCTGACTGCAACTCGAATCTGGAGCTGCCTGGTACTTAGGAAATTATTTACGGTAAGTGCGTACTTAACGCAAGAGCCGAACTTAAGAGGTAACGTAACTTTTGAAAAAAAAATTACGCTAGAATTTTTTTAGAAATTTTACTAAAGCAACCTTAACTCCTTAACCCTTCTAATCCGACCATAACAGATTATCCGGAATGTAGTTTCAGGAGTGAAAAGATTCCGCGTTGTCCACAACAAATCTGACGCTGTCGAAATCCGCATATAGAGGTTTGTATGGGATAAATTTTTACCAGGTCAACTGTAGCGAGTCTGGGCGGTGAGACATGGAATTTTCAGAAAAGGACAAGGGTTACAGATATGAGAATCGACGGGAGGCTCCCTGTCTTACCTTTTTTTTTTTTTTTTTTGAGATCTGCGTCCGGGAAGAGACCATCACTCCGCCAAATGAAGACGTTTACTTACGCGACGGAAAAGGATACCGCGCAAATGTGGCGTGAGCTCTCCAAAAAGGGATAGAAATTCTACAAGTCGCGTGGTCACAGCAACGTTGGCAAAAACCTGCCACCTGGTGGAAGGGTGCAAGGTACTGAAGGTGTGGATTGTTTCCTCGGTATTGAATCTTTTGATATGTGCTTTGTTTGATGCATCAGCTAACGCTTGTTATATAGGGAACGATAGCTTGATGGCCTATTGACGCAACCAGAGCTGGCTAGCGTACGGAACCACCCCCTCTCAAGCAGCTGACGTGTCACCTGCAGCTTCACGTGAACCGGAAGGCAATCTGACGTCCTCCCTCTCCACACAAACCAGTGCACTGCCTCCCCCCGCGCGCAAGCCCGCTTCGAAGCCACCTGCAGTGAACCAAGTTGAACGGGCGGCAGCCACACCACCGGCTGCTTCCAGCAAGGGCAAGTCAAGGGTACCCAGACAAGCAGCGAAGGCGACACCCGAGACTTGATTGCAGCTCAACAAGCCGCCGAGCAGCACCCACGAGCTGAAGGAAAGTGGAAGGCGACAATTCCAAAATCGAGCACAAAACGACATCCCAGCGGTACGTGTGTTATTGACTACTGTGCTCAAACAATACTAACAGCCATGTTACGTATTGTACAGATCACGGTGCTCCGGATACTGCCCAAGGCATCCCGGATACGACTGAACAAGCTGTTCAGGATGCTATTTAAAGCATTCCGGATACTATTGATCAAGGTGTTCCGGAGCGCGCTGTGGTAAGCGAGAAAGGTCCTGAACAAGAGGCAACGCAAGCTACAGTGTTCCATTGGATGACTTTGACCCCGATGACTTTCTCGCCGCTCTGAGGCGGGATCGACTTTTTGACGATGGTGATGTTGGTGGCTTCAATGCTGGTGGCGGAGATTGGTTGCTGGCTCTTACTTCTGACACGGAAGGTGATGAAGATTCGATCTTGCAAGACGAAAGTGACGACGAAGTTGGGGATGACGACCTAGTGGTTAATGTTGACGGCGAAAGCGATGACGGAGGTGCCGTTGAGCTTGACAAAGTCCCAGTTGCGTTTGAGCTGACTCGTGGGGGCCTAGATCGCCTGGAAGCGGAGGAGTGGGATGTGTATATGGAGCAAGAAGCTGGACGGGTTCTCCACGATGCCTTGCCACTGTATGATAGACCCTCCGATCCAACGCGAGCTGCTCTCGCTTACGCTGAAGACCACCTGCCATCGGTTACTTCTTCCTGCTCAAGGAACTCTGGCGGCGCATTGGAATGGAAACGAACAAGTATCGCAGAGACAGCATTAATGCCGTTGCCAAAGCAGATGCGCTTTCGTGTCCTCCAGCGCCGTGAGACTGCTCCATCCACTTCCGGGTTGAGTGTCGAGGAGTACCAGACAAAGCTTGCCCGCAAAAGTGCTGTCCAGCCCCATGAGAACGTACGATTTGTTGGCTTGCTTGTCGCGAAGGCTCTGGAGCCACGACAACATAGTTTGAGTCATCACTGGATAACGCGAGCTGAAGGCGCTCTATCGTGCGGGTCGTTTGGCCAGTTTATGAGTCGTGATCGGTTTCACGACATAGCTCGCTACTTTCATTTCAACGACAATGACCGTCAGGGTGACAGCGACGACCGGGCTTTCAAGATACGTTTCAGTCATCCTTGCTTTGCAAGAGACCTTCTTTCGTGGATACCTCCTTGGCGTAGGGATCTCCATCGACGAAGGGATGGTGCCCATGCGGCATCGTCGCAACCCGATGCGTCCGTACATGCCCCCAAGCCCAATAAGTGGGGAACCAAGTTCTATCTGACTTGCTGCGCTGAGACGGCGTATTGCACCCCGTACGGAATTGTATTGTTGCGGATATCCGTCGCGTATGACGGATATCTGTGATATGTTTGAGTGTGGAATCCGTTATGTGTTCGGCATGAGCCGTAATGTCTTCCAGACGTCACTAACATTTGCTTGATATGTTCAGGTTGGAGGTGTGTTGTGGCAAGGCCAACAAAAGCGAAGTAGCGGTCGCGCAGGAAGCGGTTGTGGAGAATATCGCAAAAGTACTTCGTGGGCAGCCGACGCAGCGACGGATTTGCACGGATAATTTCTATACGTCATCCCGCTTTCAGACAAGTTGCTCAGCATGGGCCACTACCACGTGGGGACGATCCGCAAAAAACCGCAATGGGTGGTGCAAGGCGATCGAATTCAAACAGAAGAAGCGTCAGAAAAGATGCCAAGAGGAGTCTATCGTATGGCGGTTTGGAGAAGCCGCCCCGAGTTTGTGACTTTATCGTGGATGGATACCAAGCATGTCAGGTTTCAAGCTACTGGCTGCTCAACCCAGATCGCGGAAGTTTCTCGTCGAGAGCCTGGTGGTTCGATCTCCCGTGTGCCATTCCCACAGCTTACACGTGACTATCATGAGACCATCGAAAGGGGGTGGGGTCGATGTGCACGACCAACTACGACTACAGAGGTACTCTATACAACGAGCGATTCAAATGCGGAAATATTACAAGACAAATTTTCTCGGGATAGTCGACATCGCCATGGTGAACGCGTTCATCATTCACAAGCTGGCGATGCGTAGCCGCGGGAGAACCGTCCCGACGCATGCGGTGGTCATGCGGCGGCTGCACATTGCGCTGCTGGGTCAGATAAATGAGGACTTCGATGGGGACGATGACTTGGCAGACCTTGTCACTGAGTCACTCCCCCAAATCACATAGTTGACCGACGAGAGGAACGGGGGAAAGCGGCGGCAATGGCTGTGCAAAGTGTGCTCAACCTACGCCGGTCCGGGTGTCCGTAGCTTTGAGACCAGCTACTCCTGCCCAACGTGCACCAAGGCAAGGAAGGGCACACCTTGTGTAACAAGGCGCGCAGACAGCAGCACGGCAGCATCCTCACCTGTAACCAGATTTGGCACCAGAGCTGGCGGAATGGCATGACCATCCCGCCTGAGTTGCAGCACAAGATCCGCTTCGTGGACAGACGTCGGCGCGAGATTTTTCCTAACGATGATGTCGAAGACGAGTAGGGGGATAATAATACAGCTAATGGAGATTCTTGAGTGATGGTCATTGTTGTGTCGTGTCTGTACTACTCCGTCCCATTTATGTTGACACATCTAACGATTTATCGTCCACTGTCGTCAAATTTCATTCAAATTGATAAACGTTTGTCTTAAAGCATGCACCGCACTCGTGCGGTCCAAACCGTGTGCTCATTTAGTCAAACCGGTTCATATTGACCTCGATTTTGTAAAATGAGTGGTTGAGGGGGCATTAAATGACCTGGGAGAGGGATAGATATCGCCTAGCCTCGCTATATTTGACATTTTATTCATTTTTATATTGACGACATAATACCACCACGAAGAAGCGGCGCGAGCTTAGTGACAACGAGAGAAAAGACGCGGTCGTGGAGCTGTTGAAACAGTCGGTTGAAGGCGTTCCTCAGACCGGCGCCATCAAGGAGATTGCGGATAAGTTCGGTGTCGACCGCAAGACGTTGTCAAGGTTATGGAAGCCAAGGACAGGCACCCTACGCTCTCCTTCCAACCGCCACCAGCGCGGCCGCCCTAACAAGGATCTCTCCGCCAAGTTAGAGAGGTTACGTAACATCCCGTTGGCACAACGAAGCACCCTGAGATCAGCATCTGCGGTCTCTGGAGTGGCACGAACCACGCTACATCGTCGCATACAAAGCGGCCAACTTGTGGCTCATGTGAACACCGTTAAGCCGTTGCTCATGGAAGTTAATAAGGCCAGCGGTTGGGGTGGCGCATCTCCCACGTCGAAACGGGCTCCCTGCATTTCAACGACATGTTCGATACGATTCATGTGGACGAAAAAAAAGTATTTGACAGAGGTTCGGCGTCGCTACTATTTACTGCCTGAAGAACCTATCCCAATTCGACACGTGTGCTCCACGCACTACATCACCAAGGTGATGATGCTGGCTGCGGTGGCGCGTTCGCGTTTAGATCCCGATTCAAGGGCCTACTTTGACGGGAAATTGCGCATTTGGCCGTTCATCGAACAGAAACCTGCTGTTTGTAGCAGCCGCCGGCGACCTACTGGAACGCTGGTAACGATGGAAGGGCACGTTAACCAAGAAAACTACCGAAACATGCTAATTCAACAACTTGTCCCTGCCATCCGTGAAAAATGGCCTTTTAGTGGCCGTGGAGGCTGCGTCAGAGTGCAGCAAGATAATGCCCCCGCCCACATAGATACCAGTGACCAACGGTTTGCTACTGCTGTTGCTGAACAAGGACTTAACGTCCAGCTTTGCTTCCAGCCGCCCAACTCGCCCGATCTCAACTGCTTGAACCTCTCGCTCTTCTCTGCAATTCAAGCTCGTCAACGTCTGAAGTGTCCAACGACCATGGACGAACTTATAGAGGCCGTCGCCGACTCGTACTGGGAGTTGCCTCCGTCGAAGCTGAATGTAGCGTTTCTCAGTCTTCAATACTCCATGGACATGTGTATCAAGGGCGGAGGTGGCAATGCGTTTAAGCCTCAACATATGGCGAAGTAAAAACTTGAGAGGGAGGGGCAACTTCCTATCTACCTGCAATGCTCTCCTGAAGTTGTTGCGGTTGTGTCTCAGCACCACAAAAGTAGTACTACGTTTCATACTGAAAGCTAATATAATTATGTTGCATCATTTTTAAGACAAAAAAAGTAGTATGGGTCAACATATATGGGACGGAGTAGTACAGTGTAACGGATTTGCCGGGAGATCGCAATTGGCAGTTATTCGTGCGTGCTTTGTACTGCCCATCTCTCCACAGCAGCCAATGATATGACCTCCCTGGGCCACGTGTCACGCAAAAGGACTTCAAACAGGATACAAAGTACTGATTTTCCGGCATATGTTAATTTATATATGAACAATTCCGGATAATCCGCCGTAGTAGAAAGGTTAAAACAACCTTACATGTCTCACGGTTAAGGTTGCGGTAGCAACTCCGGCGTTTTGTGGATTGAATTGTCCAATAACAGCGCATTTTACGGGTGATATTGAAAATTGAGGTCTCAGTGAAAAGTTATCTTGATACAAATTTAAGACTTCCAAAAGTGGCACGTTACTGTGGCACACTACTTAACACCGTTGCAATATCGCCAGTGGCCATATTGAGGATTGCGCTTTTCTCTGTGTGAGCTTTACAAATGGTAGTATGGTGTGATACCATACTGAAGTATCCATACAAGTGTTGCAATCCGGGTAGTTTTTTTTTCTTCTAACCTCTGATGGCACAGAACTCTTTCTCGATAAGCGTAGGGGTTAGACAGGGCATTGCATATTTCATTTCAGAGAAACACTAACGGTAGGATTTGAAAACACATATATATTGTCATATCCTTATCACCAGATACGACAGGGTATGCAAACCCCGAGCTACGCTCATCGAGGGGGAGTTCTGTAGTCATCATTGATCGCGAAATGATTAGTAGCGGGAAAAAATGCCAGCAATGATGCCGTACAACCGATCTGGTGGCCAGCACAAAGCGGTGGGGCTGAGCAACAATGTGAGCTGTAGTAGTCATCAGTGATGGCGTAACGGTTGGAAGAATCTGCACAGTTGAAGTAGTGGCGCGTTGCACCACCTGCATGTGTTCAGGGAAGCCAATGAGTTCTAGTGTGAGGACTGGCCCCACGAGTACGAGGTGTTTAAGCTCTTTAAAAGTGTTGCTTTCTACCGGCAACGTGCTACAAAAGTGCTGGGACGAATCTAATCGGCAAACATTGGGTAATGGGGCATTTTGGAAATCGTGCCTTTTAAACTAAAATGGGCAGTTTAGGAGATCTCCAAAGAGTAGTGTAAACAGCAATGCATGGGAATTAAATGAAAATTTCAAAGGGTACTAGTTAAACAATGAAAGTATGTATGACCCTAATGCTCTAAGGACACTTGTTGATTACCCGTTTCAACTGTCTTCCTAGATCGCTAGTGTAGTGATATCGAAGTAGGAAGGTCTGTATGCCCACAAATATCGTATTTAGTATATGTACAACCACGACAGAACCTCACCGTTTGATTGAACGTGCTAAAACCTCCCTCAATGGTATGGTTCACGCTGAAATACAGGTAAGTCCAACAGCGGACGCGCTCTGCAAGTCGAATCCGCAGTTTGACAAAGCTTTATCGAGGGGTTCTCCCAGTTCAGTCTGCGGACATTGCTTCTTGTTTTGTCAAGGTGAAAAAACAAGAAGATTATTTCCTTGCGCCCTGATCGTCTCCGGTGCTGTCGGTCCGTGTTTTACGCGGTAGATTTTTTTTGGGATCATATACGGAACGGATCAGGTCTTTGAACAGACCAACCCACTCCGACTGTGATCAGGTTCCTGAACAGGGTATTACAGAGGTAAGCAAGAAGACAATGTTTCCTGTATCATTTTCACTGACCTACCCATGTAATGCTGCCATAGTGAAGGGTGCTGAGTTGCAATGGCTGATAGATGCCAGTGAGTGAGTCGCAGCAATCGAAGAAGGCGGTTAGTTTTAAAACAAAGTCTGGAGTTCTAGTTCGCTCAGCTTACATCTAGCTCCTACATGCAGGCCCTGCCATCGTGGTATACCAGCAAAGCGGGGGCTTCTAGGACCTAGAGAGACTGACAAGTACTCGCTTCGGTGCTTTCTGGAGACGCTTCGTCCGAGGAGCTATCGGATGCGACCTCAACAGCCAGCGGTTCGTCGTCGTCGGAGTCGTCAGCGATGTCCTCGGGGATCTCGACGGGTACAGGTAGCTCAATTTTCTCGCGTGTTGTTCGGCACACACGCCCGCGCGGTACATCAGCAAGCCGGTGAACATACTCGGACGAGAGTGTCTTGATGACACCAACAAATGTTGCCATGCTTGGTCGAGGACTTGGAAAGCGACTGTTAAGCTCTCTGTTGAACCTTTCCAGCGGATTATTAGCGCGCGCAACAAGCTCATTGTCCAGTCCTGCAACATTCCACACTTCCACATCGTACTGCTCCATCCAGGTCCGACGGAAATATTCCCAAAAGCCACGCCATTTTGCCTTTGAGTACTGAATTCCAGCAACACTGCAGCGTTGTCTAATCTCGCGCTTTACCCACTTCGTGCCAAGGTCAACCAGACCGTGCTCGATGACGGTTAGCATACTGAGGACCCCACTCGTCATCGCTATGCTGCACTCTTGTTCAGGGATGGCAAAACGCTTCATGGCGCGTCTGAGCGCTTGCTTCAGATGGAACAAGCAGCCTACCACAAGGGCATTAGGGAATTGTGTATTGACCGCGTTGAGAAGTCCAGTCTCAAAGTCGCAGACAACTTCGGCAGGCTCCAGCTGCTGGTCAGTGCTTTGAACCACGAAGTGCAGCATGTCCCAGTACGAATCACCAGATCGAGAAGTACTTAGCACATAGTAGACAGGTACGAAAATCCCTGATGCTCGATCATGCACCATAAAGATAACGCATTGTTTGTATCCACGCGGCACGCAAAGGAATGTGCCATCCACAAACAGTGTAGCCCCGTGGTAGCGCAGCAGATTAACCAGCGATGGATGCGCCTAGTCTAACAACCGTGTGGGCTTGTTAAGGTTTTCGTTGTTAATCGTCACGTAATGAAACTGAAAGAAGGAAACAGCCTCATCAAGAGCTAACGAGAGCGGTGGAATTTCAATCGCACCATGAACGTCTCCACTAAAGTGTTGGTGTCTCGCCCGATTAATGTGGCGTTGCACTTGCAACTCCGAGAGCCCCCTTACCACGTTGCCGTTGTCAGCACCATAAAACTCATCACGTAGAGCCTCCCAAATCTGACGAGCAGGACGGGCAACTTGCTCAATTGCCAAAGCATCAGCTCGGCTCATCATTTCCATCGTAACGTCTTCAATTCTGCCAGGGGCAGGAACAGCATCACGACAGGTATGCGGTCGCACCGCAGAGAAGCCCATGGTAGCGATTGTGAACTCGAGCGTGCCACGGCAGCCACTGCGAAATCTGGAGCACCGATATGCAATCTTGCGCGAGGATGTCCATGCTCGAGTGTACTTAAAGCCACGGTAAAAGCAAGTAGTCCGCTCTTGACGTGCTTGGCCTCTGGGGTGGCGGTGTACGAAGCCGGGAGGGGCGCCGACCCGAGCTGTATCCTCGTGGGGTACCTCTGCCAGGCCCTCCATGTTGCACAATGAGCTATGCCCTTCCATCGGTCTTCTCCAAAGTGCCAGCACAAAGATCACCGTGCTGCCGTCATGACCTTTCATTTACCGATCTTGTATCTGATCATGGTGAAAGTCGAGTCTGTTCAAAACGCTGATCCGTTCCGTATATGTTCCATTCTGCAGCTAACCTTTTACGCTTAGCGTCGTTTGTTATCAACATGGCTCGAAACGCTAGATCTACGCATGCCACTATATCAACAGGATGACAGGGCTCGTCGTTAGTGTCCTTGTTGATGTGCGTGCTAGACTTTCAGACATCAGCTACAAATACTGCACGAAGGCGGTAAGACCTTCATCCTCTGGTCTTCATCATGATTGCCGTTTACTGTAATCTACAAATGCTGGAGCATCAACACTAACATGCCGCAGACATCTAAAGCATTACCATGTCGTCGTACTTCCGCCATAGACGCTCAATCCGCGTACTGCTTTGACGACGAGGTGCTCAACGGAGACTGCGTTCTTTAACTTTGTTATGCAACTGTTTAACACTGCCAGAAAAAGCTTCTTCGCCAGGACCACCAAGCTGCTCGTCTAGAAATAAAGCTTCTGTTGCGAGCTAAGCTGGGGTGTGGCCGTGTCCACCGCCACCAACAAGGTATACGCGCGCAAACGTAACAGTCGATGAGCTAGCTGCACGACCATTGTACAGGACAAGCGAGATCACTCACGTTAACTGGTTCATACGTTCTTCGCAATATTTGCCGAACGACTTTTGTAGCAAAAAAAGTAAAAAAAATGTTCGTCATGTTTCTATTCTCTTCTTTTCACGCATTTTGACAAATACATTGAAAGTGCTGCGCAATTCGCGGTCGAGTTCCAGATCCATCGTTCCCATGGACTCCCATATTCGTCTAGAATATGTTGGCGCCAAGACGACTAGTAGTTAAGAAGTTCCTGAGATCGGTATAGGAAGTCTTGTGCTGTAGAGAAGGAGGAAGTCAATGGCAACAACGATAGCGTATGCGGTTTCCCTATGAAAGTTCTATTCAGTACCTAAAAAAAACTCGAATACGATCGCTGGTCACGCATAAACAATTTAGATTATGGGTGCACAATTTTATATCAATTTTGCAATTCCTTGAAAATAATTGTAGTTGTGACAAAATTAATTGTGAGGGTCTCTTGATCGATGCACGTCACCGCAAGGTTGGACCCACATTATGAGTGGGATGTAGAAGAAATTAGCTGGTTGGGTTGGTCGCCGAAATGGTGGTGTGGATGTGAAAGGAAGGCTTGGCTGTAGGTATCGTGCCAGAAGACTCGGATGTGGCTGTGTATTACTTAACTGCCAACGTCTGCAGTTCGGTACTTGTCAAGTTAGAAGATAACAGTCGCCGAGGAATGCAAGCAGGTTTGATCTGAATAATCGAAGTCTAATGAGCACAGTTTGCACAGAGTAACTGGCATTATATTCTGCTGAAATAGTAGTAGTCTACTACGCACTGTTTGATGAGCCTCAAACCATGAGCTCAACTGTGGACCGTTCAAAACGTACATTTCAACCAAACCTCATGATTTATACTGTCTGAAAAGTCCTCGTCATCCAGCAAATGTTTAATATCCCCTCACAATTGCCTACGTTGAAACAAGAATGTCGAACTCACAAGGCGCTAGCCGCGTGACGAGCGGCACGAAGTTGATACTCTGTCAGTCCGACTTCGCGCCAAATCGGTCTGATTGTTTCCAGGTTCATATTACGCTTCCGCAAGACCTTGTAGAGATCATTCGTTGTTGTACCATGATTCAGCAAGTTTTTGGCTGCTTGCCTCGGTGACTTATCGAGTCGAATCCAGCGGTCGAAGATGTCATCATAGCTTTTCCCGTTTTTCAACCACATTCCGGTGATATCTAAGTCCGAAAGCTTTTGTTTACCCAGCTTCTGGTAGTTCCACCACAACTTCTTGTTGCTCAGTTTGCTTCTCAATGCGGATATCCATTTCTTAAGCGTCTCGGTTAGCTTCGTCATGCCTGGGAGGGCCCTCTCTTCAGCATCAACAGTCGGAATACTGTCAGACCTTAAGAGACGTTTGCCAGACGTATCTCCGGTTTCAGCAGCAGCAACAGAATGAGTTGAGCTCCAACGCTGAGCGTTTTGCGCGACAACAGCTTCTTGTTCATAGGCCGATAGAGCATTGCACGAAGCGATGATAATACACACCGCTAGCAGCAGTACGTATGGCAGACGCATTGAGTTCTTGGGCTCTTGGGTTTTGGTCTTGAGTCCTGAGAGAAAAAATGAAAAGTAACATCAGGCGCTCTTGCTCTAGAATTGATGAACAATCTGGTCGTGTGGTGATGCTAACTGATGGTACATGTACTATCCACTATGTACAGAGTCTGTGAATCCCAGACTGTGATTATGGGAAAGAGCTATATTACATGTAATGCAGTCGCACTACTATTAAGGTACATCTTCCGCGAAGAACCAATCCAAAAACCATTATCTTGTGACTCGGATAACTATCCAGTCGCTGAATCCATCGCTTTCTGCTGGAGCGAAAATTTATCACATTATCAGTGTCTTGGAGTGCCGTTATGGTTGGGATGTTTTAGGTGCTTACCTACAATATAATATATTAAATTGATGTAAAATTGACTGATCTTGATGACGTGATGGAAACAGGGTGATTACTAGGAAGGAGTCCGTAAACGTCACACTGTAATTCACAAGGCAGGGCCCTGCAATTAATGAAAGGCGGCCCCGCGCAGTGCCTCTTTCTAAAAACTACCCTCAATCAGTCGGTGGAGTGCATTGTGGACAGAAGCGTACAACTTAATCAATCTTTGACCTATTGTAACACCTAACTACTACAGTAAACTACGGCCTATTAACACACGGATGGGCTCACTGCAACACTGTGAGAAGTTTGTACACAGGAGCTGGTTGTGTTGGCCAGTATTCTTTCCTGGTCAGGTGTTTCGGGGCGGAGCTAATTATAATGTGCTCACTTGGTGAATCGATCCTTGAAGCGCTTTGTATGAATTATGACAACGTCCAGAGAGCCCGGGGATCAGGTCGACAACCGAATACTCTATCTGATCTGAGCACTTATTGGGACAATCACAGTCAGCCTGAAACCGTACTTTACTAAAAACACAATAATTGTAATTGCCCGAGAACCAGTACTTAAGTAAGTAACAAGCCAGCGTGATCAGACCCTAATCCTTAGGCTAAGGGGCTGATCGAGACACAGCTGTAGTTGTAGCTGGTGATTGTATTGAAATTTGGACCAGATGTCAAATCGCCACATGTGTGCATTGTCTGGACAGTACACTGTAAGTCTGCAAACGTTTCAGAGATTACCCGTTTACCCCCGTAAGCTAATACGTGCAATTATTTTTTGTAGTCATATAGTATTGAAGCCACGTATTATTACTATCCGGAAAAATCACTGTCTTGAGCTGTACAGACGATTTCCTCAGCAGCCATAGCTCTGGGAACCCCAATATACTCTTGTCTAAGGGTACTCCTATCCATGAATGTATCACAAAAATGGATCCAAGTACCTTTAGCTTAGAGGAGTGCAGAAAATTACTAAAGAGGACGATTGATGTGGCTCGTAACTGGTGTTTCACATGCTATGCTCTCCTCTTGCCAATTTTATCTCGCCAAACCAGGATACCGTCATCTCTAGCTCAGCCAGTCCGCCTCACACTCACCAACTCTCCACGACTGCTGTCAAATATGCTAGCTCCATGCTAACACCCCCTAGTTTGTCCCAACCAGAGCTAGATTCAAGAATCTACGGTCTTCCTCTGGTTCGCTACAGGCAACGATATGGATAATGATGCACTGAAAAGCACTGGACTCACTTCCGGTCTCGCAGTTGGCCACCAAATCGCGACACGAGGCGTGCGGCAGTCTACATCCTACTAGGTACTTGCCAGTTGGGTTTCGTGGAATGAAGAGAAGGGTGTCACTGTCACGGGTGAGGCAATTAGTTTGAAGGTTGAGCACTTCTCCGTGATCCTAAAGCGCGAGTCACGTCCAAAGCTGTCAGAAGGATAGGTTTCATCGGTACAACATTCGGATCGGACGTGGCAGCAATAATGCTCTTGTGCAGCTACCCTTACAGAACTAATTTCCGAAAAAAATCGGCTTAAAATGCACGAGAACGTGATTTTGTGTCCATTCGTACTAAGGATTCCTTCTATCACTAGGTAAAACCGTTGGTCTTGACCACATTTGGTTGAGTTTTTTCTATCATCACATTGTATTAAGTTTCAAGTTAGACAGTACTATTTAGGTACTATACAAGTTTACGAGTTTGATGGGAATGACATCCAGTCTAGGAAGAACGATGTTACAATATATAAGATCATTTTAGACAGGTTAATATATCTGCAGTTGCAATGACTACAACTTGCACTGATTCCGTTGCTTACGGAACCTGTAGATACGTGCATAACCTACGCAAACATCAATTTCATCATGATCCCTGATCGTGAACGGATCAGGAGCTACACGTAACGTTAGCTAATATATCAATTGCTACTCCGTGTATTAAAAGTACTATTATCTCTAAAGATCAATATTACCTTATATGGCAGAAAAAGCTCGGTGCATTTGGCCAATACAAGACCCTCGTTTGGCATTCATTAGTTGTGTTTGGTCAGTTATAGGATACCATCTAAGAGACAGGGTTGAATACTCTAGCGACGTCAAGCCATTTGAAGCAGCCCGTAATTGGCGGGCCATCATTTTTGTTGTGCTTTTATTCTGTTTTACGCATTGATTGGAAGTTTCAGAAATAGCCAGAAAATCGAGAAAGAGAGAGCTTTGTTTGGTAAGTCCTGGTATCGTTCTCTTTGTTTTAAAGCAAACATACAAGTAGGTAGAACTAAAAAAAGCGGGTTGGAGCCTGCCCCGAATTGCCATTTCCCTAAGACATAAGATGCACATAAGATTATATCTTATGATACTTAGATACTACGATTTATATTGACCATAAGCTAGTAATACTTCGTCATGTGTTGCTAGTCGTGCCGTCAGTGTAATGATGAATCAATAGTTCAATGATGACTTAGTCGAGCGGACTCGGCATTGTTATCTCACAGTAAAACGGTTTTCTCGGTTCTGATACCGGTTAGTACCATCACAACAGCCATATCTCGTTGTGAATATTGTTTTCGCTCCCCTCCAAACGCGCACCGTTCTCACTCGAATCGTATTCGCCTAATAGTCGCTGTAAGCGCTTCGCGCGCAGTTCCAACACATGAACAATGCATTCATCATATTAAAGTACCGGTGTTGTCGTGCTAGTATACATTACAAATAGGACAAACATATCGGAGAATACCCAAATTACTTCAGTATGAAACAACGTATTATTGCCGATATAAGGCCGAGTGGAGAGTCTCCACTCGGCCAAGGTGGCGACATCATCAGAACGGATAGAAGTGTTCTTAACTACAAGCGGTACATCATCAGAAATTCAATGGGTACAGTGTTTGAAATTATCATCTACGACCACAAAATAATGTTCGTTAATATTCCTGGGATAGCAGTACGAAGTGCTGCAGAGCAGCTTGCAGGCGATGTATTTTTTTTTACTCTGTCCGTCTGTCCGTCTATCCTGCATCCTCTCTTACCGATTTCACCCTTCTTTTAGACTTCTTTTCATATACGCTTAACACAAGAAGCTCACCTGCGATATTAATTTGCATCAATATCATGATGATCTGGCTGGCGCACACTTACTGTTGCCATCACAGTCTCGGATCCTGACTCAGGATCTCTGAGATCCCAGTACCCAGAACCCAAGTGTAGTAACCGGGTAGAAAGACCCGGGACACCGATCATAATTAACTTTCTCATTGTCGGCAAGCTCAACAAGATGGCAGAGGAGGCTGTGGAGTAAGGACTTACGATTGAGGTCCCAGTGCCGTTGCCAGACTCAGCCGGCAACACACAATACACACCTGCGGAGAATGCTACAGTGTCGACACACCAAGGCGCGCGCCGTTACCGGTGGTCGGGGCCGTTCACTGTGCCCAACCCGGTGTTCGGAGGTTGGGAAGGTGGGTCGGAGGACATGGAGATGCCAACGGCTTCCCCTGGTGGTGTGGAACCCCAAGTTGGAGATTCACCAGTCCAGTACGTCATGAGTAACGCACCCGCACTCCCGGCTGCACCGAAATATAGCGGCAGCACGCTGCAAGAGAAACGAGAGTTTATGAGGGCGTACCAGACGTACGTGCACGCCCTAAGTGCGTTTCAGACTCTGACTACGAAGCCATACATCATGCCGGTTAGCGCTTGTATCGAGGAGCGCATGTGTAACCTAATTTGTCTATATGAGTTGAACAAAGACCCTAGTTGGGTGACAGAGGCTGAGTGGGTTGCATATTTCCTCGAGGATCTCGAACCTGAGCAGGAGGACTACACTGCTGTTGATGAGGCGGTGAAAAATCTCAAGTTGAAGACGACTTTTCTAGACGCGAAGAGCCAGCTGCGGACCGACATGCACAAGATTTTGGACCAGCATAATGAGAACATTTTCTTTCACAAGGAACATGGTGGCTGCTTTAGAACCTGGTGAGTTTCGCTTAGCTATCAAGAAACGCTTGGCTTTAAAGCAACACAAGGATCTAAGGAAGGACGTTGTAAGCTGTTATAAGTGGATTCTCGTTTGCTTGTGGCGTACTTGCAGTGGAATCCGCCAAGCTCCAAATCAACTCGCACCCAAACTCGCTCACAGAATGGGTCGGGTCATCAGGGAGGCTCGAATCGACGCACATCACCCCCTGGCCAATCACCACATGCGGCTACACCAGGCCGCAAAGAGGAAAAAGATCCATCACCCCCTGACCAGTCGCAACAGGGCTCGAAGCCGCCTATCGAGTGTCTGAAGTGCAAGTCTAAATAACATCGTGTGCGCCAATGCCCTCACGTAAGCCCGAAGAAATTGATGAACTCATTTCGACATGGAAGTCGTCGAGAACAGCTGACAAGAAGCACATGTGTAAAGTGAATGCACAGAAAGGAAAAGAACTGGAAATCTTACGAGCAGAGGATGACGGTACAACGGTGGTCAACGTTTGTGGACTTACTGTGAGCGCGTCACTCCTTGATTCAGGAGCAGATGAATCCTTAGTGAGTTGCGGAGTGGTGGATAATTTGACGGGAATGGAGTGTTTTATCGCGTTCCAGCAATGTGAACCTGTGCCGTTGCATCCAGTCGGAGGGGGCATTTTATCAGTCTCCCGTAAGATTCGATTCGACGAGTTGGCATTGGCAACACCAGCAGGTCCACTGATGCTACGCGGGCTCGTGTGCTGGATTGATGAGAGCGACAGGTCGCTGTCCTTGACGATAAGTCGCCGGGTGATGAACTGGGTTATTCTACGCCTAAGCTCCTAGCAGAAGCCAAGGCTCGCAGTGATGAATACCTTTTGGACGATTCCGTACCTACCGGTAACGAGAAACCACGATTCATCGTGCATGTACGCGGTCATGCGGGATAAGACTGATGAGTATTTTGAGGCTGATCACGTGGACGCGTTAGTGGCAACACCAACACTGGCGTCCGCTCCAGACCATGAGAGCGTTCTCAAAACTTTGCAGGATAAGATTCAAGAAGCTCAAGACGCGGGACTGCCAATTCCATGCGTTGAAACGCTGCAAAAGCTACTCGCTTGCTACTGTAATGTATTTCGCCTCAACATCGGAAATGATTCGCCAGTTAAAGTTTCGTCGCTGAAGGTGCGGTTGTAGGAAGGTGCTCGTCCGGTAAAGGTGAAGGCACGTCGCTACCCACCGCTTAATCGGCAGTACTTGGATAGTCACGTTCAGGAATTGCTTGATCACGGCCTAGCGTATGTGAATCACCGCAGTCGATGGATGGGCCTCGGCGCCCCGGATTGTAGCGAAGAAGAACCCGGGTGAATATCGGATGGCGGTTGATACTAGAGCGATTAATGCGCTTACGGATGCTATGACATGGCCAATGACTGATCTGGAATCTGATCTCGCCGATGTTGAAGGATCAGAGGATTATTTTACTCTGGACTGATGTCGTGGTTACTGGCAGTTGCCGTTGGATGAAGAATCCCAAGAGTTGTTCACTATTATCACGCTACGGGGCATGGTCACGTCTACGCGAGTTCTCATGGGATTCTAGGACTCTGTTGCGTTTTGTCAAGGTGTCGTGAAGCAAATCTTCGGTCCGCTACTGTCTCGCGAGATCTTAACCTGGCTTGAAGACATTTTAGGCTATGCCAGCTCTCCAACAGCGTTGATGGATGTGCTGGAGCATGTTCTGGCTCTGTGTGAACAGTTTGGACTGAAGTTACATCCAGCTAAGTGTTGCTACTACACGAAAGAAGCTCTGTGGTGCGGAAAACTCATCTTGGCGTCGGGAGTTCGCCATAATCCCGAACGCATTCAAGGATTGGTGTGCTTACCACTCCGCGAACGGCAGGCGATTTGTAGCAGTTCATCTGTGCTGTAAACGGGATGAGGAATAGCATTCCGAACTACTCAGAGCTTATAGCCGACCTGGCTCCTCTTCATGGAAGTCGCTGTCACCAAAGCCAAGAAGAGAAAGAAGTCTCACTTGCATCGAGTATTACTGGATACTATTGGCTGGGGTAGCACTGGAAAAAGTCAAGAGCGCATTGCTAAGAATCGTGCCTCTAGCCCACGCGAAGCCCGATTGGGAGGTATCTCTATACGCCGATGCGTGAGATGAGCATTGGGGCTCTGTAGTCACGCAAGTTCCTCCAGGTGATCTCAGTTTGCCTCTTGATAAACAATGTCATCACCCATTGGCATTTCTCAGTGGATCTTTTACTGGGCCATCTCGACGTTGGGCAATTATCGACAAGGAGGCATTTGCTATGCTAGCTACGTGCAAGCGGGTGTCCTACTTGCTCCTACGTCCGAACGGATTCCACATCTACACTGACCACCGCAACCTGCAGTACATCTTCAATCCCGAAGGAGGCAACCGAGATGTCAGTAAATTCCAAGCAGATCGACTTCAACAATGGAGTATGACTCTCACAATGTTCAATTACGTCATTGAACATGTCAGTGGTGAGCTAAATGTGTGTGTGTGGGGGGGGGGGATCTACTCTCTCGATGGGGTGCGACACCCGAGCTGTCTGACACGGGTACAGCTACACGAATGAAAGCACTCACCGTGGTCGACCGTGTGTCCCCGCTACAAGAAACAGATTTTCAGTGGCCATCCCATGATGAAATCGTACTTGAACAAGAGCACGCACTAGGACAGCTTCGGGGCGACACGGACTTGTTGGCGTCGTATCATTTCGATCGTGAGAGGGAGATTTATGTGGACGGAAACGGCAAGATTTGGATTCTGAATGGTGCTTTAGATCTATAACAACATCTCTGTGTGATCGCGCAAGCAGGAGCTATGGGTCATCGTGGAGTGGCGGCAAGCACTCACGCATTGAAAAATGTCTTCAATTGGGGAACGCTGGCTACGGATGTCCAGATTTTTGCTCGCCACTGCTTGCATTGTCTGACTGTGGGCGAAAAAACGGTGCCGAGGCCGTACGGGCCAGCTCTCCACGCTACGAAACCCAATAAGCTCATACACTTCGACTTCTTGTCGATGCCGGCCAGTACGAGTACTCTGAAGTATATACTAGTCATCAAGGATGACATGAGTGGCTACGTGGAATTGGTTAAGTGTGTTGCTGCGACTGCGGGAGTTGCTTGCCGAGGTCTTCTAGATTGGTTCAAGAGATTTGGGGTGGTTCCCCAATGGGTATCGGACAGAGGTACCCACTTCAAGAACCAGCTCATCGCACTGCTAAAAAAGGAGCTGGGAGGATCACATCATGTCACTACTGCTTACTGTCCATGGGCTAATGGAAGTGTCGAAGTAGTTAACAGGATTCTGCCACGCTGCTTATGAGCCTTACTGAGCGAGCTGAAAATCACTATCTCCGAGTGGCCAGCCGTTTTGCCACTTGTGCAGTCCGCCCTGAATCAGACGCCAGCAGATCGACTCGGCGGCGTGGCTCCGGTCACAGCATTTACCGCATTGCCAGCGTCAATACCGTTGACCTCTATTTTACATCCAAATATTGGTACAGTTGACGACGTGGCGGCGGTTGTGGAGAAATAGCGTACGCACATTGTGGAGGTGCGAAACTCTTTAGATCGCGATCTTAGTGTACAAGCAGAATTGAGGCGTCAGCAGACGCGCAAGCACAGAGCCAGCAAAACTGGCGTTGAAATGCCACATTTCACGGAAGCTGACTTTGTACTGGCGGCTCAAGTGCTCTCTCGGGCGAACAAGCTAGCGGTGCAGTGGAAGGGTATTAAGCGGATCGTGAAGGTTACATTTTCGAGGTTCAAGCCATTTGAACTGTCAACCCATCACGCATCCAGACTGAAGTTTTATGCGGATGCTTCACGCGACGTGACTGAGGATCTGATCGCGCAGGCTATGCACGCTGAAGGTGGACATTCAGTGTCCATATTGTCGAGTGTCGAATTGGTCCCGAGTCACATCCTGGGAAATCCAAGTTGAATGGATCGGCCTCGACCCACTTGAGCCTCTTGGGAACCTGCTACCATTATCTACGAGGACGTCCCTGATCTTGTCAAGAAGTTTGTCGAGCGAGGAAACTCGGAGACAACTAATGCCATGTGGGAGGCTTTAACGACAACGCCGGCGACGCAGACTACCATCACAAGACAACGCCACCGGGGTAGTGATCTGGCTGGCGCACTTACTGTTGCTGTCACAGTCTCGGATCCTGACTCGGGATCTCTGAGATTCCAGAACCCAAGTGTAGCTATTGAACACAATTCAGGTGCTACATGCACCGTGCTAACTTGGTAATACATATCAGTTTGCATTTTATTCATTTGTATGCAAGTAACCGGGTAGAAAGACCCGGGACACCGATCACATGACACAATCTGATTGGTTACACATTAAATACGTTTTCGGGCAAGGAGACATGTAATTTGAATTTTGGTCTGATTTGTAGTTCCACACGATATGACCGGCACTCCTTCACACTGGGGCGACTTCAGAGCATGTGAATTATAATGTGTGCAGGGCACGGTGATATTTTGTGCAGTAAGTATGTTTGATTTTTAGTGCAATTATTTTTAATTACGACTGAGTAATGTTGCCTGCTTCTCTCTCTCTCTCAGCTGACACAGTAATAGTACATCTAGTGTATGCAACGACAGCCACTGCGATCAGAGCTAGGTTCTCCCGATGTATACGCTAGGGATAAATATAAACAGAGATAGACCGAACCAGCTTTTCAATTTACTCGCAGCTTTATTATTACGTGTAAAAATACGGCGAAAAAGAATAAAGCAAGTTTTTGTACAATAACGCGGCCGGGGTGGGGCCAGGATTCTTTGAGGTGATTGTGAGGGCAGCAATAGTAAAAACGGTTATGTAGTCGTCATGAAGAGTGTAGATGTTGTGGTTGCATTTCGCTGTCTACTTCGATGGATGCCTACCACTAGGCGTGCGTCAAACGCGTCCCTTACGCGTGCTGCAGTTGAGGTGGAAGGAATGGTGCAATCTAATTGGCAGATCATATTGTATCATGTATTGTGATTGGGCGACAACTTCAATTCTGGCTATCATGGGTTCTGCTGCGGGAGGACAATCGTGACATGTGGCATTTCCGCTGTATACAGCGTGTCCGTCCCTCCCAAGTCTGTCCGTCCCAGTCTGCTCGAGCAGTCGTTTCTGTCGTCGACTCATCTTCTTCGCATTCGATCGCGCTTTCATGTTCCACCTGTGCTTCAATGTCGGCTGCGATTGTCTCGAGCGTTGACTTCGGCGAATGGTACGAGGTCAGGAAGGCGACGTGTACTATAAATTGCTCACCAACGTGATCTGCGTCTTCTCGTTCCAACAGGTAGTTGTCGTAGCCAGCTGAATCCACAAAGATGAACAAATTTGGACGCTTTCGCTCCTCTTGGTGGCTTAAACATCCACACACGCTCATTTACTGCGAATGTTCTCTTCTCTCTTACGTTCACGTTGTAATACCGAGCCTGGCGACGCTGTTCTCGTTCTCTTGCTCGTTCAGCGCACTGATGACTGATTTCCATGGCTGTCAGTAGTCTGCGATGATACGCCGTCAGTTCGCCACCTTCAGCGAGACTCGCCCTTCGTAGTAGCTCGTTCGGTGGCTTCAACTTGCGTCCTAGCATCAACTCATTAGGCGACAATGCGACTGTTGAATGGCGGCCCGAATTGTAAGCGTAAAGAGCGAAATCCACGAAGACGTCCCAGTCGTTCTGCTTCTCGTCATTCATGTACGTCGACACAATGTCCTTCCAGGTCCGGTGGAAGCGCTCCGCTAATCCAATTAGCTGCGGTCTGTACGGGACTGGATTCGTCTGATCGGCTTGTAGCATCACGACCAATTGCTCGATTTCTTTGCCGGTGAGTTCTGGTGCTCCGTCGGCCATCAGCTCCCTGAAAACTCCAAACTTCAAGATCACGTGCTTCATCAAGAAGTTGACCACATTGTCTGCTGTATGGTTCTCCACGGTGATAGCATCTGCGTAGCGAGTCACATACTCAACTACGGCGATAACATACCTCTGTCCTCCATCACCGACTGGTAGTGAGCCAGCAACATCCAATGCCCAGCGGTCTCCTACATCTCCTCCTTGTAGACTGCGTAGTGGAGGAATCACCTCCTTCGGCCGTGTTTTTCTGCTACCACACTCTTGACATCCTCGGATCGTATCTGTACACTAAACCCAGGTCCTTACTGCCTTTCAGGTACTTCATTGTATTGGTGCCGTGTCTCCAGTATCGATATGGTGTTGAACATCGAGTACGGTCGTTGGCGGACAATCTCCTTCATTCGCTGTCAGGTTACGGTACGCTCTCAATAACTTCACGACTAATTCCCGTGCTCCTTTGTTCTTGATGCCGACCTTCACCTCGTTTTCGTCCTTCAACGGAGTACTCGTGTGACCCAATTCGCTGATCCACTTATTCACTCGACTGCGGCTCAGTTCTCCGTTCATCTGCAGAATCTGTACATCGTCGTCCAAGGGTATCCACGTACCAAGCTGCTTCTTGCTGGGCAACTTCGCGCTGCTGCTGTTCGAGTTAATTGCAGGCACCAAAGCTTTGCCGTTGCGTACGGTAGTCACTGTAGCTGCTATCATGATGGCTCCCACGTGTCTTGTCGGTACAAAGATCCCTCGCTCACCGTCTACTGCGTTCACCGCGACTTCGATGGGCATCAGCGCACTACTCTCGATCTGTGTCTTGCGAGCGATCCGTACTGCAACCACTCGTGCACTACCTGAACCATCAAATGTCCGCAATGATACTACCACAACTCGTTCACCGTCACGATAACGCAACTCACTGCTTCCAAAGTCCATTGTAGCTGCGTGGGCTCTCATGAAGTCCAATCCAAGTAGAAATTCGTCGGTACAACCAGCTACGATACAGTACACCCTCGTTATTGGGTTTGTGGTAGAAGTGGATAACGTGACAGTGTTTCACCATGTGCCGAAGGTGAAAAGAACTAGTAAGTTGGATATGAAAACAGACCCAGGACTGTTTCTAGGTTATGCGAAGACCTCCCTGGGCTATCGCATTTTGGATTTGTGTACGGGGAAATTGATTGAGCGCCGAGACGCTATATTCAAGGAGACCATCACGGCGGACCCCACATTTGCGCACGACCTGATTGATAAAGTCTACTTCGGGAAGAATGTGGACCTTCCATCTGCGATCAACTTCGTTCCGCTCCCGGTAAGTAGAGTGCTAGAACCGGTGGAGGCGGAGCAGGAATTCTGTGATGAATCAGGAATGGAAGCTGAAGAGATCGAAGTTGAAGATGAAGAGTTCTTTGACGCCGCTGACGGTACACCCTCTGAGTCAGACGAGAGCACTAGTGGCAGTGATGAAAGTAGTGATGAAAGTATGATGACGAAGACTTTACCGATGCAGTAGAAGTTAATGAGGGCAGTGGGTCGGACATAGAAATGAAAGATGATGTGGAAACCACACCTGATGCTGCAAGGGCAGATAGTGGAGTGCCTAAAGGTACTGGGAGCCAAAAGCATTTTTTTTTACGGAGGATGCGTAAAAGTAGTGGGAGTAATGATAACGGAAGAGCTCCAGCACCTCCCGTTTGCAGGTCTACTCGAGTACGCAGGCCGCCCAAACGTTACAGCCCAAGCCGATGGATGATGATGAAAACGTTGTTGCACTGCATGACTATAGCGGTTGTGGGCGACCTTCAAAACACGACGACGGTGGAAGAAACGCTTGCATAGGAGTATGCAAGTGAGTGGAAACGTGCGATGGATGCCTAGTATAACTCTCTAATGCAAAATGAAACGTGGATGCTTGTGTCGATACCAATTTCCACTCGAGAGGAACCAGAGAACATTTTGAGTTGTCTATGGGTGCTTTCGCTCAAAAGAAATGAAAAGGGGAAGGTTGAGCGACACAAAGCGCGGTTAGCTGTCAAAGGATATCGGCAGAAGTACGGGATCGATTACTTGGAAACGTACTCACCCGTAGTGTGGATAGAGTCGGTTAGGCTGATACTTCTTTTGGCGTTGCTGGTGGGGCTTGAAGCCCAGCAGATAGACTTTGTGACAGTATTCCTAAATTGGGTTTTCAAGGAAGTGAAATTATACATGTACCAGCCCGAGGGATATGACGATAGATCTGGAAGAGTGTGTTTGTTGCTAAAAGGCTTGTATGGGGCTTAAGCAGGCCTCGAGAATTTGGAATGAAAACCTGCACAAACACTTAATATCGATAGGATTCCAGAGATGCGAGTTCGACGCAGGTATTTACTGCAGACGAGGCGCGGAGAACATCGTATATCTAACTGTCTACGTCGACGACTTGGTAATAGTGGGAGAGTCGACGGACATTGAGGCGGTAGTGAGGGAACTTGGCGAGAAATTAAAGCTTAAGGACTTAGGTCGAGTGAGGTTCTTACTTGGAATGGAGATCAAGTACGAGCCACGGAAGTTGCTTGCATTTCGCAAACAGCGTATGTTGACCTCAGACTGGAGAAGTTTGGAATGGCAAATGCGAGACCTGTGCGGTCTCCGCAAATGCACAATGAGCCGACACTTCCAGTTGAGACCAAGTCGTAGCTGATCAATGATCTGGAACTTCCATATCGGGAGATGGTTGGGTCATTACAATACCTAGTTCACTGCACTCGCCCAGATCTAGCCAATGTTGTACGCACGCTGGGTCGATATGGTAGCGCATATACCAAGGAGAATTTCCGCCTAGCCCAAAGAACTGCAAAAGAGACGGCGCCAAGCGCAGACTGAAGACGAGATCATCAATGAGAACGTCGACAAGATGTTGAAAGCTGGGGTAATTGAAGAAGGATCTGGTGCAGGGGGATTTCCAGATGTTCTCGTGAAGAAGAAGGACGGTGAAGTACGCTTCTGTGTAGACTAGAGGGCGCTGAACAAGGTGACCAAGAAAGATGTGTATCCACTCCCCAGAATCGACGAAACGTTGGAGGCTCTGGGGGGCGCCCTACTGTTCACGACATTGGATCTTCGAGCAGGTTATCGGCAGATTCTGGTGGCTGAAGAAGACAAGGCGAAGACTGCCTTCACGACGAAGCGAGGATTGTACCAGTTTGTCTGCATGCCCTTCGGGTTGTGCAATGCACCGTCAACTTTTCAGAGATTAATGAATGGAGTGCTTCAAGGTCTTACGTGGACAACTTGTCTTGTGTATCTATACGACATTGTCATCTACACGCGAGGTGGTATTGAGCAGCATGTTGTGGAGCTGGCTTGCGTATTGGAAAGCTGGCAGAGGCTGGTCTCACGTTGAAATTGATGAAGTGTACGTTCGCAGCTCGCTCTATGGAATATCTTGGACATGAACTCAGCAGCTTACAGTGCTGGCCAAAAGATACCATGTTTTCCCGCGTAACTTTTCAATTTTTTCGAGTTTCGTGCTCATACTTTGACCAATCAACGTGCTTATTGTAGCGATTCGGCCAATCAATCAAGAGTGAAATCTGAGTCAAATTGAGAGAGTTTCTATACAAAGCATTGAAAAACGGCCTGGTCAAAAGGATAGCTCACTTTTTAGACTTGCTTTTAGTATTGAAAAGTTTATGTGTACCACATTTAAGCTGATGGATCACCCAGTTTAGCTTCTGCCATGGGCAGGAAGGGGCGGTTGACGGAGTTTGAGCGAGGGCAGATTGACGCGTATGCTGCCCAAGGTGTCAATGCTAACCGGATTGCTGCTACTTTAGGTCGTTCTAGAAAGCCTATCGTTAACTACTTGCGCGATCCTACCGCGTACGGAAAGCGTTTTGGTCCTGGCCGTCCGCGTAAGATGACACCACGAGACTGCCGCCGTACTGTTCGAGCAACTCGTCAAATACGCTGAGCTCGGCGGGGCTTAAGGAACAACTCGAGTTGACTATATCCACTCGGTCCATCCGCCGCTTCTTGAATTCTACCGAGATCTTCAAGTACGTTAACATGAACAAGGCCGCGAAGCTGACTGAATCTCATCGCAAGGCTCGAGTCGAATGGGCCGAAAACCACCACGACTGGGGCGAGACAAATTGGCGTTCTACCATCTTTTCAGACGAGAAAAAAAATGGAATTTAGATGTTCCCCGATGGCCTTAAGAGCTATTGGCGGTGTCTAGAGGATGAAGCGAAGGTGCGGTTCAGCCGTCAAAATGGTGGAGGTTCTGTCATTGTCTGGGGTGGCTTTTGGGCCGACGGCACGACGGCCCTAGCACTTTTGGACGGTAGCCAGGACTCACAGGCTTACATCTATACGCTCTCGGAGCACCGGCTACCCGCAGCACACCGTCGCTTTGGTACGGACTATACGTTCCAGCATGATAATGCTAGTATTCATTCATCGAAGGCGACCAAGGCCTTCCTGAACGAGCATTTGGAGAAGGTGATGAAATGGCCAGCTCTGTCCCCCGATCTCAATCCTACTGAGAACATCTGGGGATACATGGCGTGCAAGGTTTACGGAGGAGGTCGGCAGTACCTGACCAAGGCAGACCTAATTACGGAGATTAAGAAGCAGTCGGATAACCTGCCTGACGGCTACCTTGAGAAGCTGGTTTTGTCCAAGAAGAAGCGATGCATTGAAGTGCTGAAGGCTGATGGAAAGATTATCAAATACTGACGTATGTGGTACACATAAACTTTTCAATACTAAAAGCAAGTCTAAAAAGTGAGCTATCCTTTTGACCAGGCCGTTTTTCAATGCTTTGTATAGAAACTCTCTCAATTTGACTCAGATTTCACTCTTGATTGATTGGCCGAATTGCTACAATAAGCACGTTGATTGGTCAAAGTATGAGCACGAAACTCGAAAAAATTGAAAAGTTACGCGGGAAAACATGGTATGTGCTATCCTTTTGGCCAGCACTGTAGAACTACGACCACTGCAACGACTTGTTTCCGCTGTACAAGACTTCCCGAGACCGAAAGACGCTACTGAAGTGAAGAGATTCGTGCACCTTGCCGGTTATTACCGCCGCTTTGTGAAAAACTTTGGTTCGATCATGTCACCTATGACGAAACTTTTGCGTAAGAACGTTGAGTGGACGTGGTGTGGAGAGCAGGAAGCAGCGTTCGATCGTGTGAAAGTGATTCTGACGACGAAGCCGTTATTGATTTACCCGAACTTCCGACTGCCTTTCAGAGTTGTGACCGACGCAAGTACCACTGGACTTGGAGCATGTTTAATGCAGGACGCAGGAAACGGATGGAAGCCAGTGGTGTACGCCAGCAAAGTGAACAGCGAAGCTGAAAGCAAGTACACCATCACGGAGATGGAGTGTTTGGTGGTGATCTAGGATCCCTCGCTCACCGTCTACTGCGTTCACCGCGACTTCGATGGGCATCAGCGCACTACTCTCGATCTGTGTCTTGCGAGCGATCCGTACTGCAA